AACCAGCGGCTCTTCCTCCCTCCCAGAATCAGCTGTTACCTTCCATCCTTCAGAGTGTTCACAATGAAGCGGTTAATCTGGCAAATGGCATTGGCGGTCAAGCTCTGGTCGTCCACCAGAGGGTTCAGCTGTGTGGCTAGCATAAAAGCTGCGAACGAATGGAAGACAGGCAGATGTCAGGACATCAACAGCCAGAGGTTTAAAACTGCTCACCCGGCAGAGAGAAGTTTAAAAGCTTGGCTGCGTTAGCAGACGGGGCCGAAGCGCAAATCAGCATTTGATTTTGCAAGCCGTATTCGATCATACAATTCATGGCACTGCTGCACGGTCTCAATCATCAGAAAGGCCATTTTTTTTAATCAAGTGGCATCGTACTGAAGTCCCTCTATACATTGAACACCTCCCCTCCCCTGAGCCCCCTCAGAAGCAGCCCCAGAACAAGAAGGGGTCCCGGGGAGCAGTGGGCTGCGCTGTGCCAGGGGCCTCGGGGTGCCAACTGGGCCGCCCTGTGGAACAGGCCCTGGCCTCTGGCTGAGGCTGCTCTTCCTGTGGCCCCACGAGGCCTCCTCAGTTCACTCCTGCAGCAGCAGCTCCCACAGGGCCTCCACCTTAGCCCACCTGTCCAAGGTGCTTTGCGAAAACTTCTTCATGAGTTTACAAACTTTAGGAAAAGTTTTGTGCTTTGAACCTCAGAGCTTCCTCGAGTCCTCAGCCGAGTGGGAAGGTGGAGTCGGAGTGCAAGGAACAGGCTGAACCGGAGATCTTCCCCAGGAATACGGTCAGGCCATCCCCCTCCCAAGGCTGCTATTCCCCCCCCCAGCCCCTGAAGGCCCCCCGAGTGCTTACAGGAAAGGGTGTTGACGCCATCGCTCATCAGCATCCGGTAGCGAGGGGGCCCGTTTCCCGTAGAGATGGGGCGGATGGTCTGGGGGGGAAACACAGCCGGCTCAGCCAGCGAACAGCCCGGCTGCCTCTTCCCAAGCCCAGGCAGCCCTTTCGTGGCAGGGAAGGCACCGCCTCGGCCCCCCTCTGGCTGCCTCCCAGTCCTCGGCTTATGACCACAAAATTGCCGTTGCTAAGCGAGACTGTAGTTAAGTGAGCTTTGTCTCATTTTACGACCTTTGTTGCCGGGGCTGTTAAGTGAATCACTGCAGTTGTTTAGTTACACGGTTAAGTGAACCTGGCTTCCCCAGGGTCGCAAAAAGGGCACTGAAACCGTCGTTAAGTACGGGCCAAATATTGATCCCGTGACCGTGGGGACGCCGCTAGGGCCGTGAAGTGGGAAAAGCGGCCGCGAGCCCCTTCTTCCGTGTTGCTGCGACGTCGAGCGGTCCCTACCCGAGCGGCCGTAAGTCGAGGACCGCCCCTGAGCCCCCGAGAGGCTTGGGTGCAAGGCCTGGCCGGAGGGGAAGGGGGCCTCCTGGGGGGAGGGAGGGGGGGGGGCGAGACCCCCAAGGCTACTCACGATCAGCTGCAGCACCGGCCTCTCCACCGGCTCCGCCTGCAGCAGCATGGCCTGTGGGGGGGCGGAGAGGGAGGGAGAGTCAGCGGGGGAGGGGGGAAGCGCCCGGGAGCCCCCCTCCCTCCCCCCACCGGGACGGGCTCGCTCACCTCGATGGAGCCCTCGCTCAGCCTCCGCGCCGCCGCCATCCCGCCGCGACTCCTCCCCCTCCCGGTCGGCTTCCCGCGCGCGTCTCAGCCGCGTCCCGCCTTCCTCGCCCCGCCCCCGGCGCCACGTGCCCCCCGCCGGCGCTCCCGATTGGTCGAGCGGGCGACCCGCGCCCCGACTCTTCCCCCTCGCGCGGGACATGCCGGGAGGATGGAGCTGCTGCCTGTCGAGGAATGGCGGGTGCGGGCGGGGCGCCTCTGGGGGTCTCTGGGGGCGCCGCGGAGGGAGGAGCTAAGCCGCGCACGGTCGCCCCGGGAGACGCTCCGCCTGGCCGCGCCCCTCCTCCGGTGAGCCCCGCCCCCTCCGCCTCCCCCCCCCC